CCCTCATGTGCACCTGCGTGGGCTCTATGCCTCTAGCATTGAGTACATGCCCCCAAAACACAATCTCTTCCCAAAAAACTCTCATTTTTCTTTATTTACTCTCAGATGGGTTTGTTGAATGACTGCCAATAACTTCCTAAGATTTTCGTCATGCTCCTCTCGCGACCCTTCACAATTATGTCGTCTAAATAGTCGCGATATCCGGGAAGCTGAGTTGTTATCTGCTCCATGCATCTTTGGAATAGCACTGCCGCCGAATTTATCCCAAACGGAAGTCTGTTGTAACTGAATAATCCGAGGTGTGTTTACAACCAACATTTTTCTCACCTCCTCGGCAAGCGGTATTTTCAGATATGCGTCTTGGAAAACTGTATTCCGACCTGCGAGCTTGTGGAAAATGTCGTTCTGTCGAGGAATCGAATTTTGCTCCACCAGTAAATGCTTATTTACGGTGCTTTTGAAATCGCCACATAGGGTCACGGCCCAGCTCTGTTTCTTTACTAACACTAAAGGCTGGCTCGTTGGCACTCTGGTAATAACCCCCTCGCGACTTTACTAACTTCCGGATTTCTTCCTCCACTTTGCTCTTTAAAGCCCATGGAACTTGTTTTGCCTTGTAAAACGTAGGCTTGGTAGCCTGGTTGAAATGTAGGTGCGCCGTAAATGCGGCATTCACCTCAGGACCATTGAAACGCTTCCGGGAATTCCTGCTCTAATACTTGCACTAAATTGCTCCGCTACGCTACTGACGTCATCCCGCACTGCGAAACCTAACTTCTTGCAGGAGACTAGTCAAAATAGTGTTTGAAACAACACTTCTGTTTTCCACGAAAATTTCTAACTTTGTCCGCTTTTTCTTGTAGATCGCCTCCACCACAATCCTGCCCCGAATGCCAATTGGGGCTCTCCCAAATGAAGTTAATCGCTTGTTGGCACGCACGCATTCCGAGGCCTCCAACTTCTCGTAGGTGCGCACATTAATCAGAGTCTCAGCTGCTCCCGAGTCTACTAGAAAGTTCAATGACACCTTATTTAATTTTACACTAACCATGAGCTTTCCGCCTTCGTCTGAGCTTAACACTTCATACAAGGCCCGAACATCCATCACCTCTTCCTTTCCGATGTTCCTAGCCCGGGAACCTCCCTGCCTCTTCAAGAAAACTTATCTTATGCGTTCAGTTTTCCCGCACCCGAAACACCGCGCGGCGAAATCTGCAGTTTTCTCTTGCGTGTTAACTGTTGCAGTCCGTGCATGACTTAGCCCGCTCTCTGCGTACGTATGTCCGTGGCCTCATGCTACTGTGACCACTTCCACTAGAACTGACCCAGCTTGCCGCGGCCTCACTTTTCCTAGGTTTTCGACCTTCCCTGCTAGTCACCTCGGTCACACTTTTCCGGGCCCGCTTTGCGGTACGCTGTTCGTTCCGTCATCGTATACCGCCGCAATCTTTCTGACCTGATCCAACGACGGCTCACTTTTCCTGATTGCCTCCAGCCTGACTTGCTCACTAGGTGTGTGCAAAACCACCATGTCCCTGATGAGCGTGTCAGCATATGCCTTCCCACTACCTTCCGCACAGCATTTGCTGACATTTCTTTGCATATCCCGTTATCCCCTACACGTCTGCATTTCTTTCTGACTTGAAAAAACGCGTACGTTGCCGCCACCACGTGCGGAATGGACAAAATGTTTGCATAGCTCTGATTTTATCTCCGTCCTTTCGACATCTTTCACTTGCCTATCAGAAAATATTTTCTTTAATAAGTCTGTTATCGGCTTTCCCTCTTTACTGAGGAAGAAGGACCGTCTGCCGCAATCTTATAGCATGTTGGTCGAATATGACTATATACTCTCCCCATGTTTCTACGTCCGCGTTATATGACGGAAATCGAGGAGGCGAACGCGGCTAGACTCACCACTTCCAAGGCTTTCATTATTTCAACATTTTTCTTGTTTGAAAGCTTATTGTTGCTGCTGATTCTTCGGTTGTAGCGCCGCCTGATGCTGCTGGAGCGCCGTCTGTTGTTGCTGGTGAATAGCTTGCTGCTGCTACACCTTCTGTTGCAACAACTTCACCGGGTGCGTCAACAAGGGTTTTTAATTCCCGTAAGTGTAGTAAATGTTTTGGTCGAGAGGTGGCAGTGGTCTTCCTCTGCGGTTTGGCTATATCCGGCGCCGACCTACCGCCGGCTAGGGGGGTTTCCATCAATGGTATCTCCCACCAGCGGAGCACCGACCCAGCTGAGGGAAGCTCTAAGCTCCCGACGGTCTCCCGACATGTGTGGTAGGGTAGAGCATATTAGTGTAAGTGTGTGTAAGGGATGAGGATATGGCAAGGAAGAGGTAGGAAAAATCCCGGGCGGTCCTTGGTCCGTTTAGTTAGAGTCGGCATTCGCCTGGAGTTGATAGGAGAAACCACGGAAAACTACTATCAGAACAGCTTGCGGCTAGCATTCTCATCCAGACAGCGAATGAATTCGACCTACCTGACAAGCTAGTGTCGAATATCCTGCCAGTGTCGTGAGTAGAATCCTATTACTTCCCGATCAGACGGACTGCAGACATCAGTTGACGCCCTGAGCCATCTCTCCCGGTGAAATATTTCGAGAAATTCGCATCGTACGAAGAAGCTTTGGAGCGGAAGGCTCTATGGGAAGAGCACTTTAAAAGACCAGCGTCAAGTTCTAAGTCTTTACTGTGGATTCGGATTCTCCTGCAAAAATAGGTAACATTATCTACAAGTTTTTTTTCTTACCGTGTTCTCCATTTCGTCTCCTACAAGAACGGACACAAAGCATATAATGAGCACTATAAGGAACCCATAATACACTGCATGAACGACTTCCATTTTCTGGAAACTCATGGCAGGCACTCGAGTAGCAATAAGGCCAGCGCATACGATGGCCAGAATCTGTCAGTAAAAGAAATCAATTGTAAAACACTCAAAATAACACTAACTTGCTTTCAAAACCATTTGTCAAAATACTGTAAAGTATTGACACTTGAAGAATACTCGCATTACCTAAAATTACTTTTGTATAATTAATATTGACTTATTAGTTTTGCTGTACTGTTAGCAACTAAAGCTTGTTTGAAAATAATGTTTGTACTACAAAAGAAATCTCTTATCGGATAAATATTCTAATAGTGGCGGTGCAGAAGAGATGTGACATTCATAAAAATTCCACCAATTATATTGTTAAGTGAATAAATTTGTTTGAAAAAGTCTTTCTCTACAAGTATATTAAAGATAGTTTCCAAGACCGTCGGAAAATAAAATTAAACTTTTGTCTTTGGCTGCAAAATACACGGCTCCGTTTTGATTAATTTCTTTCTACAAAATTTGTTCACTGATGAAGCGTCTCTCTTATTCTCTCTATTTCCTTTTCGCGTACTTACCAAAGCAACAAGCAATATCCAAAATGACGGCTTCTTGATATCGACCATTTTGAAGATGTACTTTTATTCCACAGATGAATTCGTGTAAACGAAGTGAAGAATCTATTGGGAAAACGCCATCATTGTGTTACCAGAAATATATAAGGGGTATTCTTAAGAAAAGGGGTTATATAATGGCTTTTTTCTGCTACCGCTTACGCAGTAGAGAGAAAATTATGCAATGCTGTGTGAAAAAATGGCGAATGTTCAGCAGAAAAACTCTAATTACAGGCCCCTGGTAAGTGGATAAATCTAGATACTAAATTTACGGGGAGAAAACTTCTAATACGTGGTGTAGCCATAATCCATGTTTGTGGGTCTTTGATAGCAAAAAATATATGTCCGTTTGTGAACAACTGTGAACACTAGCAGCAAAACCGTTCAGCCAATTGATATTCCTCCATCTATCTGGCTGATCCCGCGGTCCCTTGAATTTGAAACCAATGTTTTATTTTGGGGCGTATTTTATATGAAGCTCCTGGGCCGTCCTCAACATTTTCAAATGACTCCATGGATTTTTATGAAATTGTCTTTATGAACAGTGTGAAAGGCGTTTAAGAGAATAGTGTAGGTCTCATGTTCATTAAAAACCCTAATTTTTCAAAAATTGCAAAAATTTTATGACTTGAAGATTTGATTTTTCGAAACTTTTCTCGGCATCTTCCTAATACAGTTATGAAAATAGATTCTGAAATAAGTTCATGTACAATTTTTTAAAAATTTGGTAATTTATCGCTTATTTTGGCATGAAAGTAGGGGCGAGAAAGTAGGTGCTGTTCTAGCGCCACTAGTTTGTATGGTGTGCGCAGCAGGTACAGAGAGTCACCTGTATCAGGGGCAGCTAAACAAGAAGTAAGGAGACCACTGACCTTCCCCGTATTACATTCAGCGACGGAACCAGACAAGAAATAGAGTTTGCTGACGTCACATTTGCTCGCGTGATTGCCGATGCGTCATTGGAAGGACATTGGATTTAATTTACTATTTTAAAAGAAATGTCGTTGACATGAGATCCTCTAAACATTTCTAGTGGAAAATGTTATTTAATTATTATAATAAAAAATCTTTACACAACGTGCACTATTATTAGATCTAACGGAACAATTAATGTAAAATAATTATACTGTATGTCTATGTTAGAGAAATTTTAAATTAGTTTTTGCAGATCTTATAAGAAAGGTCTACAGATCTACATTACATGGAATGATAAAGGATATTGTTTCATAATTTAATTCATATTGAGATGTACCTTGATAGCCCTCTGTGTATGTAAATTCACAAACAGAAAACTGGTTTCACTCCACACAAATCGAGAAAACTCGTTGAATGTTGACGCCTGCACTAACACACTTTGACGTTTATCTCGAGTGAGTCATGTGACGAACGGCGTCCGCATTCTTGGAATGTTTGTATCTACTCCAGATGACTTTGACTGTTGTTGAGAGAGAAGTTCAAATTGTGGCATGATGATTACTACTTTCAAAGACACTTCTCTACCTCGCCACTCAAGGTTGTGTGTGTGTGAGTGTGTGTGTGTGTGTGTGTGTGTGTGTGTGTGTGAGAGAGAGAGAGAGAGAGAGAGAGAGAGAGAGGGTTAACGAACAAAACTTTCTTGTAACGAAAAACTTTCAATCGATAAGAACATTGTTATGTATTTAGTGATTGCTCTGCCTTAATTATTATATTAATTACATTGGCTAAAAATATCTGTATATTTTCTGAGATTTCCAAGAAAATTCATAGAGTAAGAAAATTATTTTTTTCTTTAATAATAAATCCAAAGATAAACGGATTTAAACCTATCGATATAATTCTTATCGGATATCTTATCTGGCCATAGATATTTTGGACCGTCCCTCTCTCGGAGTTTTATTACGTAGAGTGTTCTGTTGTCTTGTGAGTAATCCCTTCTCTTATTGTAATGTTTAAACCTTACGTAACTGTACGTAATATTGGCAAAACGGAGATTTTGTTGGAAATCTCCATGAACGCTGCAGCGCTTTCACGCAGAGACAAGGACAAGTGCACTTGCATCTTACACAGAAATAGACACCAAAAGAGCAGCCCCAATTCTCTAGAGGGATGCATACGGCGGGAACGGAAAAACGGGTTGATAAAAGGTGTTTAATTTCTGAACAAAAGTTTGAAGAAAATATGATTTTCAAATAAAGTAATATAAAATATATTTATTTCGCAACAAAACTTTAAGAAAATAAATTATTTACATTCGTAAGGTTGTATTTTTCTTCATACGAATATTTATTTCTTAATTTTAGAATAGAAAGGTGATGCTTAACCAAAGCAGGTAACTCATGTGTAAATCATGATTCAGTTTGTAGTAATTAAGGACTTGTTCTCATGATTTATATATTGTAAGCTAGATTTGTACCTATTGTAACATTACGTTGCTTTGTTCTGGAGGGCAAACATCATTCTCTTAATATTTTCAATACAAGATTTAAATACACCAATCTGAATGTCAAATTATTGAATTATTAGAAAACAAACGAGAGCACTATCAAGCATAATAATCTAACAGATCATACATAAACATTATAAAATTGCAATTTCAACTCACTGTTAATGCTAGGTAATAGTAAGTGACAATTCAAAATGTTCACAAAAAATTATTACATTCGTCAAAAACACTTAGAAAATATTTTTACATTTTTTTTAATATTCCCTTGATAAGCATTGGTATCTGCTTGTTACATAATAATAGTTCATCTGTTTTTGAAATTTACACTTAAATGCTGTCTATATGATAGAATGAACGACACTCAGTAGATTACATTATATCTTTCAGGAATGGTAACCCAAAGCACAATACAGGTAGCAATAGAGGTAGACCCGTTATGTTGAACAGAGAAAGACTGGTAGAAAGAGTAATTGGGCTGACTGAAAGCAGCCTTAGAATACAGTTAGAAGAAATGTCCCTCAATTGCAATACAAAAAAAACTTATTTCAATGATTGTAGAAATCACTCTCTTCAATACACCAGTAAATTTTAGTAAACACAAAAGTGAATTCTAACAAAATTTTCACACAAAACCAAATAGATTGACGTGGTTTTCAGTCAAAAGATTAAACACTGAAAATAGTACTAGAGATATATGTTCTAGTAAAGGTGTGAAACTACAAAATGCGCTGAAAAGGTTTTCCAATAACTCATTTTCAGTAACTCATCAAGTTAAATTAATAAACTGTCGTTTAAAATAAAGTCTGTTTCAGAGGCACATTTACTCTAAAGCGAACACTTAGGTGTTTAGACGGTGTATGACATTAGCAAAGACAAAATTTGAAGCAGCGTTGCACGGTTTCGGTTATCGGCACTTCTTTTTCGAATTGTTTCTAGTTGATCCCATTCATAAATGTAAATAAAATAGGTACTTGAATCGTATGTATCTTGCACTATTAGTCCATTTATCTTTAATTTTCACATAATAACCACAATCTAATTAAAATTAACATCGGTATCCTAGAGATAAAAAAAATTTACACGTAATCAATTTTTTTCAGAAGCATAATTCTTAAGAATGGTCCCGTTGCCACTATGGTAATGATCCCTAAGTAGATGAACTGAGACATTCGTTTGTGCGTGAATCTGATTGCCTGGCCTCGGTTCGTGGGCGAGTCTGATTGAGTGACTTTGGTCCGTGCGTGAGTCTGATTGGCTAACGAAGGCCCGCGCATGGACGCGAGAGCACAGGAAGAGGAAAAAGCTCCTTTCAGAGAGCGAAGGATTAAGACTTGCTTTTTGAAATGAAATTTCTTTACAGTAATCTTCACTTATTTCTTACAGTAAAGTTCAATTTCTTAGTAACATTGAGTAAATAAGTCACCGTGATATTTTTGTAGGCAAGTCTTAGAATAATTTTGGAACCTGTAATACAATTTAATCTGCCAATTTTCTAGTACTGTACGGCTGATAGATAGCAATGATGGCTGAATGCTTTACGTTTAGTTTTAGCAAGCTCAGATATATTTGTATCAAGTGGCACATATTTTGTCGAAAACTTCTATTGCGATTATTTTTATCGAACCACGAATATAATAGGAAAATATTAAATTTTGAATCACGGGGATGAAAACTCTTTGATGATTATTAGTCTGTACTACATCTTATCTAGAGTTAATTTAGTTACGTCACATCAAATATACATGAACAACCCTTCTAAGAATATATTGTCTCTTACATTAGCAAAAAGAAACTAAATCGAAACATTTCACGTCGTTTTTCCGTTTTTGTTGGCATTTATTAAAACTGGAACAAAATGGCAATATTCAATGCAGCGACTTGTCTTCAAACCCAAATAAACGACCGTAACAGCAAGCGACAGAAAGGCCTTTGGCAGCCTGCGACGTGGGGGAGGCCTATCCCCTCCAACTGAGGAACACGTCTGCCAGGTGCACCACTCCGTTGACCAGCCCCAGGATGCCGGCCGCCAGCACCTTGTCGTCCTTCACGTACTTGTTGTGGAACTCCAGGTTGAGGGCGCCGGCGGTGATGTAGAGGATGGCCCCTGCTGCAGCGATCACCATCATCTGCAATGATTCGATTCACGTGAAACGCGTTGTCTGGGCGACCAGTCCAGGGTAGGTCTTAGCGTTCTCATCGCTGACATTTAACCTGTGGGTTTTTTTTAACTTACACATAGGTACCGTAATGTATTACCTCTCACGTCGTTTATATTTACATTAAGGTGTATTACTTTCTCGCCTGATACATTGTTGCGTAGTAAAGAGAAATTATTGCAATCCTACAGCGGAAAGTGACACTTTTGCGCCAGAAAAACGCATTGTGGGAACCTGACATCAAAAAAGTGGATAAATTTTGTTCCTACATGTATTAAGATACCTTATACCTTATTTAAAACGTTATACAGTCAGAATCCACGTTTTGTGCATCCTTGATACCAAATAATTGGTTTAAGGCAAAACGGCTGTCCGTCCGTCGACTGTGGTCAACGCTAGCTCCCAAATCGTTTAGATTTTCTCCAAAATTGACATTCTCCGATCGATTTCGCCGAACATGAGTCACTGGGAATTTGAAACGGATTTTTTTATTTTGAGGGATAACTACTTTACATGATGTCTTCACATTTTCAAAATTTCCCCCAAAATACCCCCCCATTTTTTAAATTGTTTTATCTTTCATCGGATAGAGTAAAGGACAATTAAAAATGACAAAGATTTCATTTTCTTTGAACTCTGAATTTTTGAAAATTGCAAAATTCAAACGTTTTACGGCATTTTTGTACTACTACAATATTGAAGATATATTTTTAAAAAACTGTTCAATAAAAATAATGAAATAAGATTTCGAATATTTGGTAGTTTTGCCCCTCATTTTGGGTACAATAGTCTGTTTTTGAACAATTATTTTCTCAAAAACAGCTGAATGAATTCTCTTCAAATTTTGAGCATTAGAAAATTTTGAAAATTATTTTTAAAGAACTGTCCAAGTCCCATTTTTGACGAACTCTCTGAATTTCCCAAAATTGCAAAAAATTAATCTTGCAAAAGTACAATATTGATAAATATTTTTTCTTTATGAAATCTTTTGTAAAAATTAATTTTTAAATCAGGTGATTAACAGTTTTGTAAAAGAAAACTAGTAGTTTTCGCGCAATTTTCGTTTGAAATAAAGGCAATTATTTTTTAAAAATCTCAAAAATTGCTCCATTTTTTTTCTTTCAATTTTATCTTTGGATAGAACAAATAATGCTTCAAAATTGGAATGTATCGTTTTCGTTAAACTGTCTGAATTTTCGAAAATTGCAAAATTTACAAAAAGTGCGAAGTGAGAAAGTGTAGCTTACCAGTTTGCCGTGGATGGGCGCGTCGAGGAGGTAGCTGATGACGACGACGCAGATGACGATGAAGAAGCCGTAGTAGGTGGCGTGGACGACCTCCTGCTTGTCACCCGTCGTCGCGGAGCCTCTGCCCGCAGTCAGCGCCATGCAGGCGCACCCCAGCGCCTGCTCCAACAAAGAGACCATTGATGCATTGCTAGTGATTCCGGCCGGGCGCCTCATTAGTGCCATAAGTGTAGTGCACGTTTTGATCGGGAAGTGGCTGTGGTCGCCCCCTGCTGTATGGCAGCGGGGGGATGGAAATCAAGTTCAAATAACATTCACTATATTAAAGGGATTAATGTCCATAACAGTTGGTGACTCCGAAAACAATCAATCATTAATCACTTAATAAATCTGATCAATAGTATATTTCTTCGACAAAATTTTGCTTTGAAATTTGTAGATCTTCAGTTGAGCGCGACGTTTCGTGCCTCTTTGTTATCCTATCCTCACCCCCGACACACACACACACACACACACACAGACATGCACACATGCCGGAAGACTGATCGGGAGCTTAGAGCTTGTCTCGGCTGGGGGCGGTGCCTTGCTGGTGGGACATTCCTGGTCGTGTAAAACCTCACTAGCCGACGGTATGTCGGCGCCGGATCTCGCCATGCAGCGAGAAAGATCACCACCACCTCCCGAGCCAAAAACGCACACACGTACGTGACAAGTAGTTGACTTCACTAACAATCAATTAATGAAAACAGAACGTAGAAGAGCGCTTTCCTTCAAGTCCTCTCTGCTCCGTGTCAAAGCCACAACGAAGAGAGAAGATAGTTAATGCTTGCTACTGTTGGTCTGGGATGGCGAGGTGCACAATTTCCATTCCTTTCAACAATAGTGTGAACACATCGAAGCGAAGTTCCGAAGCACTTGGGGTTCTCGAGTAGGGGCCACCGTCCGTGGTGTGGGTGGAGGGGGAAGCGTTTTGTGAGTATTTTCAAGTCTTCGAACGTCGGGTTACGTTCAATGGTCGACTCGAGAAGTTCTGAGGTGCAGCGACTGGTGAATCGAAATGCGATTGTTTTATTTGTTATTAAGGTTTTCAGTTAATGAATGTGTGTGTTATTGCATTTTGTTTCAATGAAAGTTTGGGCGAGGTGTGATCTACTTTCTGTTACCGAAAGAGTGACATGCAAGATTTTTAAATTATAACGGGAAGGTGTCAATAACTAGCCTATCTAATGGAACCTAATAATAAGCCTATCTAATGGAACATTCATTACATTTAGCTAACTAATACGTGTAGTTCAACAGAAAGCATTTTACCATTGACACTTAATGTAATGTCTGAGTCAGTAGTACATTTACCGGATGAATATGGGGTGAATAATTAATTTGAAAAAAGCAAGTCGTAATGAATCGTGAAATATTCTTCGGCATTCAAGAAGTTAACATCATTGGAAGATTATATTTGTGTGCGTGGGCATCCATTGTGTGTCAATGGTTTATTTATTTCTCCGTTAGCGAACCTCAGCCACAGTATATGTATTTACACAGTAATGCAGCTCAGCCCGTTGTTGTTGTTGTTGTTGGTTTTTTGCTGGTTAGGGATGTGCGCGTATACAGCTAGTGATCCTGGCGAAGACTACGTAAAATGCGGACAGCTGCTACTGTAGTATAGGGATTTGTTTTTGAAATGGTTTATTAAAAGCTGGTTAAAAACTTAAAAGATAATTCGTATAATTTTTTGGCTTCGTGGCTTTATATTGCTAGGATTTTAAGGGCAAGTCATTAAATAACACGTGAAATTATACTTGACATGTATCAGTACATATTTGATTAACACTAACTGAATTCTTATACTTTTCTAGTCAACACATTAATAACAATGCGTGAGCCGAAATGAGCGCCCTCCTCTGCAATTAAATGCAGCATTAATAAAGGAAAGAACCCTGAGTTATGTGTGTTTTTTTTTTTTTTTTTTTTTTTTTTTTTTTTTTTTTTTACTTTGCCCAATAGACCTAGAAAGGAAAGACGGAAGTTTGTTATTACCTAACAGAAATTTTATTATCTCCTACATACTCTAATTTACTACTAACGTTATTTACGTTCCTAGATATTTTCTAGTAAAAAATACTTGTTCTTACTCATGATTCCACTATTCACTATAAATTGACAACATTCATTAGATTTAAATCATTTTATTACTTAAATATTGTTCAAAATTTCTACTTCACATGTGATTTAGTTGTAAGTATACGGAAATTAATATACATATAAAAAGATTTACTGTTTGGTTAGATTTAGCCGAACGATGCTGTATTACGAATTAGATGGCAGCGTGGTATTCCTTGATCTCCACGCGGGTCGCTAGAGTCGCTGACCATCATATCGTAGGAGCTGCGCAACTGTACACACACATATACCGTGGTTCTGCTAGTAGCGCTGCGCAGCGGAGCCGAAGTGAAAGTGCGTTTCGAGGCCAAGGCGCGCGCGGGGCCTTGTTTGTAAACAGCCGGGCGAGCGGTGCGGGGAAGGCGAGGGAAAGGTGGCGCAGCTGGGCTTCCGGCGGAAGGAGATATCCCGGAGCACTCGAGCGCCCCAAGCGATCAACTTTCGATTAAGAAAAGTAACAAACGCGGCGAATGGAGGGTTCCGGCCTGGCCTAATCCTTACTTGGACGTCGAGTAACCTGCGCCCGACACAGTTGGACCACTTTCGGTCCAATCGAGAGATCTATGACATTCGACGCGTCTCCGTCGTTTTGTGAGCACCTTTTTTTGGATCCATCCGGAATATTTTCAGAAATTTCTCCAAAAAACGTGTTTTTTGTTGTTTTAACCAGCAGAAACGTGTTTTTGGTGATTTTAGGCAGATGTCATCATGAGCTCACATGATTCCTTTTCACAAAACAAATCGATTGTCACAATTCTGTTCCCTATGGAATGTTCTGGAAGAATTCTAGAAAACACGTATTTTTTATCTTGCTTGCTACAGTGTACAGTGTTGAGCCGCATGTTGTCCTAAAATCGACTCAAATATGTTGTCATGGGAGGCAAATTAAGAGAGAGTTGTTTGAAGCATTGAATTGAGCATGTTGAAAAGAAGACAAAGAGTGTACGATTTCGTAAGTAGAAATAAGATCCTATAATTATGTAATTCATCGAAATGGAAAAGAGTGTAAGCTACGACGTCAGCATGTTACGTATAATAGAGATTCATAATATCATGTTTCAATACAAATAAGAGTATCTTGGTGAAACACTGTGGGTTGTTTTACTCTTTTCAGTACTTACATGAATAGTTACGAGTGAATTCATTCAATAGTCGATAACCTAATATTATAATGAAACAGAAAATTAAACGCGAATGTTAATTGACTTTTTTTATGGAACATTCTAAGCTTGAAAATGAAGGAGACGAGCAACTGCAATATGCCAAGAACTTTCAAATCATAAATAAAAAGGTTCTAATATGAAAATACCCGCCGAATTCTCCATGCTAAACTAGTGAATGATTAGAAGTGTTGCCATACAGCTGTTCATGGTGTATATTGGAGTACAGACAGCTACTCCCTCTCCTTCCAAACAGGCAATAATATAGATATCGTCCATTGCATATACCTTTTACCGAACACCTCAAATATGAAACTACGCTCTAACAGAAAACTTTTTATAGCCGAACTATGTCCGGAATATTTTCAGAGTATTGCATAGAAATTTTACTTTGTGGCATTTG